TAGCACCAGGAGCCCCCGGCCCTACCCTGATGAACAAAACTGAATCACATGCAGCAGGGCCCTCATCTTGGCACCACAACCTCAGCAACTGGAGCAAACACAGAAATCCAGGTGGCACAGTAGTCACCCGGGGTTTTCCGCGGGGGTGGGGGAGAAGAGGGGGGGGAGGGGGGGGGGGGGGGGGGGGGGGGACCCTCAGCCCAGGCAGCGCCCCCGCTTACCCACCTCATCCTCATGCAGGTCCTCCTCCAGCTGCAGCACCTGACTTAGTGCCTTGGTCACCACCACCTTCCGCTTCTGCAGAAACTCCACCTCTTCCTGGCACAGGCTGAATCCGAGCCGCACATCCAGCGTGTTAGGGCTGTGGAGAAGGGGAGCCTGTAGCCACCACCTTTAATCGGCTGATGTGGCTTTGGGGCCCAGTTCTGCTATGTATCTCTTCTGAGACCTTGGGCATCTATATTCTCATCTGCAAAATACTTCCTGGCCAGCACTACCTTCAATACCTAATGGAACATCAGGCATAAAGCCCCTAAGCCTTAGCTGGCTCATGATAAGCTGGGACTTGTCTAAAGACTACTCTTGGGCCTCTTTGAACCTTCTACCTCCTCAGCAGGATCTGGAAAATTCCAAAAGGTTTCCCTAGGCACTTTCCCTATCCCAAAGCTGTTATGAATGACAAGGGTCCCTTAGATCCCTTTGGTAAACCCCTGGCTTTCTGCTCCTGCAGAGCCCCTGGCTCCTTCTGAACCCTGCCTGCCCACAGGATCACGATTCTCCTGGTGTTTGTGCAACTGGCAAATTCTCTCACACTGATCTCACTGCATCAGATGAGGCAGGAGCTGCCATGCCATGCCTGATGTTTGCACTCTTTTTATCACACCCTTGTCCGGAGTCCAAGCTTGGCATGTAAGACCCTACTAGAGCTGTCCTAGCTCACTTCAAGCTACCTACTGGAAGAGACCCACCAGGGTCTCAGAGAATGATTTCTGAACCTTGGTCAGGGTCTTTGCCTTCATAGGAGCCATCTTCTTTTTTATTACCTATATTCCTGAATCCTCTGAGACCCAGCTTCCCCAGGGACTCCTAGGTGGGTGGGTGTGAGTTCGAGTGTGTGCCTGTCAATTTCTGGCCTATCTTAGCTTACTAATGAAGCTGAGTATCCTTGAAGACAGGGCCTGGGCTTTCCCAACACCTCTCTTCCTAAGAAGAAATAACTTTTCCTGGCAGTCATGGGAATGATTAATAACAGTAGCATTACAAATGGGGAACCAGAATAAGACTGAACTAGAGCTGGGCGTTGGTGGCGCACCCCTTTAATCCCAGCACTGGGGAGGCAGAGGCAGGTAGATCTCTGTGAGTTCAAGACCAGCCTGGTCTACAAGAGCTAGTTCCAGGATAGGCTCCAAAGCCACAGAAAAACCCTGTCTCGAAAAACAACAAAAAAAAAGACTAAACTAGACTCCCTTAATATAGGTGACAATGGTGTGACTGGGACAATATATGAGGCCACTGGCAGTCAGTCTAAGATCTAACTCTAATGCACAATGGCAGTCAGTATAAGATCTAACTCTAATGCACAAACTGACTTAGTGGAGCCCATTCTATATGGAGAGGTATCTTGCCCAGCCTAGACACAGGGGTCTGGGGGTGGGGAGGTGCCTTGGTCCTGCCTCAATGAGATGATGGGACAGACTTAGTAGACTTCCTAGGGGAGGCCTTACCC